ATGGGCCTCGCGCGCGGCCCGACCCCGGCTTCCCAAAGGCTTCCGGTTCCCGCCCGCCTTTCACATCACACCATGACCCATTCTTAGTGAGCTTCTGCGTGCGCTGTGACGTTTACACCGCTCAGATACATTTTCCTGAAACACTTAGCCTGCCCCACTGGCAAGGCCCTCAGAGCTTTGGCCACAGCGGGCGCCGGCCCGGGGCAGCTGGGCGCCTTCCGGGCTTGGGGTTCCAGCCCGCGGGCCCAGGGCAGCCGGTTGGCGGCCCCCTCTCCCCTCCTCTCTCTAAGTCAATGCACACACATCCTTGGGTGACGATAAAAAATACAATAGGCCGTATTTTAAAGGTTTATTTCTAGACTTTGTATTTTACTCCATAGATCTGTGTGGCTCTTTGCCAGTACCACGTGGTATTGATTATAATTAATTTATAATTAAGTGACGTAATGTGACTCCATCTCCCCCCCCCCCAGGATTGTCTGGCTATTCTAATTCCTTTGCCTTCCACATAAATTTCATAATCAGCTTGTGTATAGCTGCAAAATATCCATCTGGCATTCGATTGAATTGCGTTAAATCTTTAGATCAATTTGGGGAGAATTGGCAATTTTGCAATGGACATAGTGTATTTTTATATCTTTTCAGTTATTTAGGTATTCTTTCATTTCTTTTATCAGTGTTTTGTGTCTTTTGGGTAAAGAAAAATTGTACCTGTTTTGTTGGATTTATACTTAAGAATTTTTTTTAAAAACCTATTGTAACTGGTATTATTTTTTAATTTGTCGATTACCAGTATATAGAAATAGGACTTATTTTTATGTTTTAATTGTGTACCCCACAGCCTTACTAAACTCACTCCCTAGTTCTAGGACTGTTTGGTACATTCTGCTGGATTTTACGTGGAGACCGTCAGGTTTTCTGCAACCAGACTAGAGACGGTTTGATTTCCTGCCAATCCTGCCTTTGTGTTTACTTTCACTGCTTTACTGCGCTGGCCAGGACCTTCAGCACAATGTTTAAGAGGAGTAAGCCTAAAAATCCCTGTTCCTGATCTTAGAGGCAAAGAAAGTGGCCAGACTTTTATGAGTAAGTATGGTATTAGCCTTCGGTTTTTGTGGATGCCCTTTATCGGGTTGACGAAATTCCCTTCTGTGCGTAGGACATAAAGGTTTGATTTGTTCTGGGACGTACGAAAGAGAGACGAGGACCTGGAGTTAGAACTTCCCTCCCGGGGGGATCAGTACGTAGGGGCAAGGAGCTGTGGTCAGGAGAGGGAGCTGAGACAAGTCCTGCGTAACCGGCAGAATGCGTCAGCTAGAGCACAGGACAGAGCCGGCAGTCTGGATCTGCTGCATCCGTCCGCTCTCCTGCTGACACGCTGGACACATGTCGAAAGCTTGGGGTTTTGATTCAGACCGCCTGGGACAATTCTGTCATTTATTATCTTTAAGGCATGAGCGAGTGGTGCGCTTTCTCTCTCTCTCTCTGTCTCTCTGAATGTACACACACGTACAGAAAGGTTATGTGAACACACAAGGTGGCAGCTGCCTACAAACCAAGAGAAGAGGCCTGAGAATGAATATTCCTTGCCAGCACCTTGCCTCCAAAACTGTGAGAAATGAATTTCTGTTGTATGCCACCCAGTCTATGGTATTTTGTTATGGCAGCTCAAACTATGACATGCATTGTAATTTTCATCTTGTAATGAATACCTTTAAATAGAAATCTTTGGACACACACCCAGAGAATGAATTCCTTGAACTGAAACTGTGTTCATGCTTCCTGTGCTGCTCACTGCCACCTGTCCTCCAGGACTGTGGGACTAACCCAGAGTCCTCTTTCATGGTCCTTCTTCTTCATTCTCACCAGCATTTTGAGTAATTATTTTTTACATTATTACCATTTTGAAAGTGATAATGGCATCTTACCAACTGTTCTATTTGCAATTTCTTGGTTATTAATTTTAAAACATTTTTTAAAAAGACATGAGCAAGTGGTTTACCTTTGTTTTCTAAGTCTCGGTTTCCTTATCTGTAAGATGGGAGTGGTACTGCCTACTTCATCACATTGTCAGTTTTATAAAAACCCCAGGGTGCTCCAACATTTGGAGATCAAGCAGATGAGAACAGTCAGTAAAAGAGACTGGGAAGCAACAGGTGGCCTAACAGAAGCCTGGAGGAGAACTTTACAAAGAGTGATGCCCTCTGTGTCAATCTGCCACCAGTTCAATGTCTGTGACAGAGAGTGATGGTTGGGTTTTGACAAATCTTGAACTTGACCCTGACAAGCAATTTCAGTAGAGTGATGAGAACAATGTCTGATGAGCGTGGGTTGAGACACGACTGTGAGATGAGGAAGACTCAGCAATTATAGAGCACTTGTGAGTTTGGGGACACAGGAGGTAGAAAACCGGAGTGGCAGTTGGAAAGGAATGTGAAGTTAAGAGACAGTTTTGTTTTGTTTTTTTAACACTAGAGGTATTATAGCATCACTGTATATTTTGAGGTGAATGATTAAATGATGTAGAGGAGAAAGGAGATAATGTCTAGGGAAATGATATATATGAAATAATTGATGAGAGGGGTGGAATTCATAGCCCAAGTGAGATGTGAGAGAGGTAGTGTAGTGTTTGAGGATGATCAGATCAAGAGTATGACCCTGAAATTGGGTGGCTGAGGTCAGATAGAGGGAAAAATTATTAGAGGCAGGGGAGTCAAACTGAAAGACTAAGATGCTGGATTAATTGCCTTCGTGGATGTTGAAGTCGCAGAGTGGTAACAAGAGTAGGGGGTGGAAAGGAAGAGAGGGATACAGGTGATAGAAAGAATGAAGATAGACCTTGGTCTTTGAGTGGACTTGGTGGCATTCTAAAGAGTTGTTGGCAGATATTAGGAAACTATTTGACAACTACAAAACCTCTCTTAGGGTCCTTTCTTTTTGGAGACGGTCTATTGTTGATTTCACATTGTTCCAATTCTGACTTCATCTTCCAATGTTGCGGTTGTCCCCTATGAGCCCTCTAGCTCCCCTATGTAACAATAAATAAATTCCGAGTTTTCTGTATGCTAGGTAATGAAACATACCATCTGAATGAGTATATGTGTGTGATATGTAATGTTTATAGTAGGTGTGAATCTACTTTTTTCTCCTTTCATATAAGTGAGAATAAAACATGCTCATCCCTTTTTACCTTTGTATATATTTATATGATATGCTGGATTTTATTTCATCTTTTAATTGAATTTATCGGGGTGACATTGGTTAATAAAATTATACAGGTTTCAGGTATACAATCCTACAATACATCATCTGTGTATTGTATTGTGTGTTTACCACCCCAAGTCAAATCTTCTTCTGTCATCATTTATCTCCGCTTCACCTTCTACCTCCCCCATCCCCCTTCGGTCTGGCAATCCCCATGCTGTTGTCTGTGTCTATGAGATTTTCTTTTTTTCCTTTGCTTAATCCCTTCACCCTTCTTACCCAGTCCCCAACCCCCTTCCCTCTGGCAGCTGTCAGTCTGTTCTCTGTATCCATGAGTCTGTCCCCACTTTGTTTGTTAGTTTATTTTGTTAATTAGATTCCACATATAAGTGAAATATATGGTATTTGTCTTTCTCTGACTGGTTTATTTTACTTAGCATAATACTTTCCAGGTCCATCCATGCTGTCACAAAGGGTAAGATTTCCTTCACTTTTACAGCCAAGTAGTATTCCATTGTGTTAATGTACCACAGCCCTTTTTTATCCACTCATCTACTGATGATCGCTTGGGCTGCTTCCAAATCTTGGCTATTGTAAATAAAGCTGCAATTAACATAGGGGTGTATATATTCTTTCAAATTATTGTTTCGGGATGTGCTGCATTTTAGAGCTTTGTTTTGGCAGGCCTGGCATCTGCACAGGGTTCTGCAGACAACAATTTTATGTCTGTATGGAGCATTTGGGCTCCTCTCAGTCTAATCTTGTACAAACATTTTACAAATGACGTCCCCTGGGAAGTCCTTGGCCACCCTCCAGCTTCCTAGAGCCAGATACTACATTGCTGACTTCAGGGTGGTCCTCAGGAATAACGTTTTGTTTGGGACCAGGAATATTTTCAAGTGTGTGAAAACACTTGTTGAGCGAGGGTAAAGTAGAATCTCAACACTACAGCTTTATAAAATAGTGTTCAGAATGACAGAATGAGAAAGGCACGAGGCTGTTGTTTTAAGTTTTTAGAAGTAAAAAGTTTACCAAATGAGGTGTGCTTTTTCTTCACCCACCTGAATTCCCTCAGTCATGCTTGCCTGCTTGCTTTCAGTATTGCCAAGTGAGAGAAGCTTCCAGAATGCTGCTAAAAGCAATAATTTGGATCTTACGGAGAAGCTGTTTGAAAAGAAGGTTAGGTTAACATTAATGCCGTGAACAATGTGAATAGAATTCACAAATGTGACAGTGACTACTTTAAGAGTGGCTTGAAATATAATAAAAATAAGAATGATTGTGCTGGATGAGATAAGGGAGATCTCCTTTGTTGGTAATTCCAGAGTGTTTATGCTAAAGGTGAAATCAAACACTGGAATAGGCTCTGCATGTTTTAATTTATCTTAACAGAGAGGAAGTGCATGGAGTCTTGATGCACATCTGTGCAAAGTCTGTGGGTGGGCAATAAAGCCAACTGTCAAGGTTATGGGCCTGGGCCTGGATGTGGTCCTGGATTATAGTCTGTGGATTACTTTGGCCTCACACATTCTGGAAAGGCAGAACATTTTTTGCTGCACAATCTGGGTTGTTTTCTCTCCATTTATGTCCTTTGCGGTTGGTTCTTCCACAGTTAAAATCTAAAGGGTAGTATGGGTTTTCATTCTACTGCTTTTGAAATACAATGCATCTGCATGTTGGGCAATGGGGCCCTTTCTGAAACCTGGCTCTTACTTAGCTGTTCTTCAAGTGCTTGGGTTTGGGGGAGAAGCCCACTGCCAGAATACGAATTTCCTACTGCTTGGTTTTGTGGGGATTTCCTGACAGTCCCTCAAAGCAGGGTTTACTAATGTGAACTGGTTGGGGACTGTGTCAATGGCTTAGGACAGTTTGTGGAGTGGTCAAGATAGGGATGGCAGAAGTAGATCTAATGCTAAATGAAACAGAAGTTTTAGGACCCCAACTCATATAGGCTCCTTCCATGGCACTCAGAGGGTTCTAGCACTATGTTCCCATGGTTACATGGTTTTGTAAAATCTGAAAAAGGGAGAAATTTTAACTGCAATCAGTTAAGTTTTCAGACTCTGGCATTAAAGAGGGCTCCCTAAAGAGTACAGACTTCAGGTTCCACAAAACCTGGATCTGTCCCAGGCAGTGAGGCCATAGAAACTGAAGTCTTGCGTCCTATGCAGTGGAAGGATGTTTAGCAGCTATTCATGTGTGTATGTGAGGGGGTGTGTGTTTACATGTATGTGGGAATTTATGTGTCTGTGTATATTATGTGCACGTGTGTGTGTCTGATGTGTTATGGCTGTACATAGTATTCATTGTCTATAGACATCCTAAAAAGAGAAGAAAAAAAGCAAAATTTTGCAGCATAACAATTTTAGTAACAAAACAAAAAGGGAAGGAGTCGAGGAAGAAAGGGAGAAAAAAAAATAAGCAGGGATCTTTGAAGCTATTGTTTAGGTTAATAGTTGAATAAGTAAAGCAAAAATCAGTTTTCCAAGAACCAGGAAGTAGATTCTTCAATAATTTTATAACCATTAAAATTTTTTTGACATACAACTTCCTAATATTTTAAACCATATTTTCACATTAAAGTACTTGGAGAAATAATACAGCCTAGACCACTTTAACTTATACTTCCTAATGACATATGTTTTAGTCCTGTTTACAGCAAATTGTTGACATGGTTATTTGGAATGTCCCTTAAAATCTGGGATGATAGAGATGAAAAAATGTAGGTGATTTTATTGAATGATCTTGGATGTTGTTTTGGCTTGCATTTTTTTTCACAAATAAATTTAGCAGGGGATTGTGTAAGCTCAAATTTGACATACTAGAAGCTAGCTCTAGATTGCAAACAATTTAAAGATAACTAATGTTTTGTCAAACAATTTATCACCAGTTTAGCTACCAAGGAAATCAGATGTTTGATTTAAATAGTTCTCATATTTTTGTGATAAATTACTTATATGAAACAAAGGATAGTAAATCGATGCCCAGGCACCTTCTTTGGAAGTGAAAACAGTGTCTAGAATATGGGAAATATGACACGAGTTTTACTTGCAAGCAAAGCATCCATTGTTGAAAACACTTCAGACTATCTCTGGGTGTCTCAGGAGCACCATGGTGGCTTTCCTTTGAAGCAAAAGATATTCCCAGCTTTCTTTGTTGTGTCTGTTTCTTTCTTCTCCCTCCCTCCCTTCTTCCCTTTCAGAAGCAATTTGTTTGCTTTAGTGAAATTTAGAGTCCAAAAATTACAGAAGAAAGACCACATATGTATTGAAAACCTAGGAAAATATTTGTTACACATTATCAATATATTCCAACCAGAAAATATTTACCATTATTAATGATTGCATATGGGGAAAAATATAACTTTTACTCTCTAATTTGAAATCCATTCTGCTGTTACAAGCAATGATACGTTATGTAATGAATTTCAGCCTGGGACGATAGTATCCTCCAGTAGATTGCCAAATTCTCTGATATTATCTGATAATAGATGAAGGCAAGATTATGCTGGACACTATTTTCACTACTTTCAAAGACAAAAACAAAGAGTAGATAAGTAATAAAAATACAACCACCTGATAGAAAATTATGGACATTCAAGTAACAGGAATCTTAAGAAGGCTAAATAACAATCAGATGACTGAAAACACAAATTATGTTTCCTCAAACGAACAGCTCAGCCCTCATTTTGCAGCGGGGGCAAATCATTTATCTGCAGTGGATTTCTTGCTTAACCGCAAGGCCGGGGTGGATGTTGCTGATAAGGTAAGCTCATCTTCCTTTGGTAGAATGAACTGAAACAGAATGAATGTATGGGGAAATATGGTCACCTCGGTCATCTTTTCTTCACGTATGCACAAAATATTTCCACTGGCAGTGTACATTTTGGAAAGGTCTCTTTGAGGATATATGTATTATATGCTCTTGGTATTTGGGGACTAAATTGTTTACCCATTACCTGTAGGACTTAGGCTTTTACTTATTTTCCCATATTAACCTATCGCCAATAGCATGCATTTGTAAGAATAAGACAGTTGCCCAGAGTATAATTTGGGACATGGAAAATAGGAGCTAACTGTCCTCAGGGACATTAAATCTTGACTTTGCCCTGTCAACTCTGATAAATAAATAAGGCTTATTAAATATATAGTATGTACTAGGCACCAGTCTTAGGACTTTAATATTTAACCCCTCAACCTTGTAAGAAAAGTAATATTATAATACCCAGTTTACAGATGTGGAGCCTAAGACACAGAGAGGTTAAATATCTTGCTCCAAAAATTACATCTAAGAAGGGGTGAAAACAGGGTCTCAACCTGGCTTAACTGATTCCAGACACCATACTGTTACCACAAATCAGCCCATTTGTCTGCCTAGATATGAAAACCCATCCTGAGGATTTTCCACCTACCTTTCCCCACTTTATCTAATATTTTACTGTGGCACAAGGAAACCATTTGAGCTGGAGTAATCCAACATCATGTTTATCATCTCCAGTTGCATAAAAGGATAACCTTGGCTTTTAGTTGTTCCAGTGGACCTTGGTTCTTCAAGATAAACTGTTCAGAAGATTCCCATAGAGCTATTCTACTTTTGCTCTGAAATGACTCTTTGGAGGGTAAGGCTCAGCACTGGTCTGCCTTCATGTCTTACAGGGCTTGGGTTTAGTGTGTGCTTAGTAAATCTTTGGAAGATAAATGAATGAAGTCAGTTCAAACCAATTGGTCATTTTGTTAGTTTTGTTGGCAATTATAGACGTGGTCTAGACAGATAATGAGGGTTTCTCTTTGTTTCACCAGTAGGGTATATCCCTCTCTGTGTATTTTATTGCTCTGGTATTGGTGGGCAAGTAGGTTGACTGGTAACAGAATCAGAATGAAAACCTATCCCTTCTTAAAAATCAGTACCAAAAGTACTCCAGTGTTGTGAGTGTAATAAGTTGTATTATGGTAATTGTATTTAACGAACATGGTTTTAAGTCTGAAAATTGTTGTTTGATAATTTTTAATGTTAGTTAGCCTACAAAAGATGTTTTAGTCATAGACCTGATTGCCAAGAATCTATTTTCCTTTTGACATTAAAACCCTAATACAGTAACTTTTTATTTTACTTTAATTCTTTTTTTAATTTACTTTTTTAGAGAGAGAGAGAAGAAGGGAGGGAGAGAGAGAAAGGCAGACATCGATATGTTGTTCTACTTACTTATGCATTCATTGGTTGATTCTTGTATGTGCCTTGACTGGGGATCTAACCCATAATTGGAATGACACTCTAACCAACTAAGCTACCTGGCCAGGGCCTTTAATTCTTGAATTAACATACTGTACAATTAACTTTGTTTTTGGCATACAGTGCTATGAATTGTAACACATGTATAGGTTCATGTAATCACCACTGCAGTCAAAATACTGAACAATTGCATCACCCAGAAAATTCCCTCATGCTGCTCTTTGTAGTCAAACTCTCCGCAACCCTGGCAACCACTTATCTCTTCTCCATCTCTATAATTTTACCTTTTTGAGAATGCCATATAAATGCTATTGCATAGTATATATAACCTTTGACACTGGCTTCTTTCACTCAGCAAAATGCCTCTGAGGTTTGTCTGTGTTGTTGTATCAATAATTCCTCCCTTTTATTGCTGAATAGTAATCCACTGAATGGATGTACCACAGTTTATTAGACTGGTTTCCAGTTTTTGACTTACAAATGAAGATTCTATAAACATCCATGTACAGGTAGTTGTGTAAGCATAGGTTGTCTCTTAGTCTATGTAGCAACAATGTAACCCCCCTCAATATTTTATTTATAGTTTGTTGAATACACAGATGTGGAACCTGTAGATATGGAGGGCTGACTGTATATACATATACACATATGAATTTTTTTGGTCATTGCTTGTTTTATAGAAAGTGGGATTATGTTATATTTTATCTGCATCTTATTTTCTACATTTTAACAGCTACCTCATGGAAAATGCTACAAGTAGATTGTTAGAGCCCTAATTCATGATTTTTAATGGCTGCATGATGTGTTCCCTAATTTGTTCAGCATTCCTATATTGATGGACATTTACCTTGCTCCCAGTTTTAAGCATTAAAATGAATATCCTTGTTTATATAATATTTGGCCCTAAAACTTGTTTTCATGGGCTAGAGTTCCAGGAGTGGGATTGCTGGTTGTATTTAAAATTTTAATGGAGATTGCCAGATTGCTTCAACCATAATGGTTTCATTTCCACTGATATATTCTTTGGTATATTTTTCAATTGGTTTAATTGCCTTTTTCTTGTTGATTTATAAGAGTGCTTCATATATTAGAGAAAGTAACCATTTACCTTTATTAAGAAACATTTAAAGAATCAATCCGTTGTTTATTGACTTTGTTTATCATCAGTCTTTTATAACTTCTGGATTAAAACACTGTACATTGCAGTCTAGATTTTCTTCTAATATATTTATTATTTACGTGCTTTTGTGTGTTTGTGCTATGATAGAGGACTTACTTTTTTAAATATGTTTTTATTGATTTTTAGAGAGAGAGGGGAAGGGAGAGGGAGAAGGGAGTGAGAGAGAAACATTGATCAGCTGCCTCCTGCATTCCCCCTACTGGGGACTGAGCCTGAAACCCGGGCATGTGCCCTGACCCGGAATTGAACCAGTGACCTCTTGGTGCATAGGTCCATGCTCAGTCACTGAGCTATACCAGCTGGGCATATGGGACTTAATTTTATTTTCTTCCAGATGGAGAACCACTTGTACCTGCACCATTTTTTTTGTTTTCCCCATAGAATTGAAATACCACCTATGAAATTCTCTCCCAATTTTAAAATTTTCAACAGTTGACTACTAACTTGGCTTTTGGTGACTTGAGATCATGTGTTATGGCTCATCCAAGTGATGGATTATTTTCTTCTCTCTTCTTGGGGAAGCATGGCTTGACGATAATTCACCTTACAGCCTGGTTTGGGAGCCTTGAGATCATGCTTATGCTGATTAGAGCTGGAGCAGACCAGAGAGCCAAGAATCAGGTAGGTATGTGGGTCATATCTGGACATAAACTCTCACCTCACAGTGCAGGAGGGGGAAGTCCTGAGATCACTGTGTAAGTATTTCCTCTACCCTGGCTCTCTTCAGGATAGAATGAATGCCCTCCACTTTGCAGCTCAGAGCAATAATGTACGCATTGTGGAGTACCTCATTCAAGATCTGCACCTGACGCACCTGGACCAGCCTGATGAGGTATGCTTACTGTGGTAGGACAGGTCTCACATACATCCCCCACCAAATTCCTCATTCTTTCTGCCCCTGCTGGAGTTGCCGTGCAGCCAGCACAAACCTGCAGCAAGCTCCTTCATCGCTCAGGCAGACCATGGAGCAGAAGGGAAGTATAGTGTTGGCAGTGGCCTTGGCACCTGCATGTGGGACGTCAGGAAGTAGTAAGCAAGCCACCAGATTCCTTCTTCCCTCTCTACTCCCACCTCCTGGCAGGGGTGTGGACAGTATCCACTCTGTTTTGTATTCACAATGGGTGACCACATTTTACTCTATTATGCCTGACCTTTTTGGAATGTATTTGACCCAAGGCTCTGGAGTAATATGCCATGAAATATAATGCAATTTTACCGTATTTGTCTATATCATTTTCTTTTCATAAGAAGATAAATGATAACAGCTACCACTTTTGAGTATTTATTGGTGTGCTAGGTACAGAGGAAAACTACTTCATACATTATTTCAGTGAGAGGCTAGGGTTTGGCACACGTGGATGTTAAACAAATCATTGCTGAATGAATGAATTATTCTATTCATCAGCACAATAATTCTATAAAGAAGAAAATAGTTTGCTCACTTTTAAAGATAAGGAAGTTGAGGTTCAGAGAGGCTAAATACCTGATCTGAAGTCCCAAACCTAGAAAGTAACAGAGACAGGATTTGAGTTCAGGTCTGGCTGACTCCAGTTACCGTGTCTCCCTTTCAGATGACAGTGGGCATTGCCCATGTGCTAGGGATTGTCTTTTCTGTGCACTATCTCCTAGGATTTTTTTCATAGGGCAGTATTCTTTGTGAGATTGGCATTTTTATTTTGAATTGGACCACCTTTTTACTGTGCCTCTAGAACTGTATTTTCCATAAAAGTCTCTCTAGAAGTTAATCAGTGACATTTACTTCATTTTACCTCCTTTAAAAAAACTTTCACATTTTTTTCTGACCTCATTCTTAAAAATAACAAAAACTATTTCTTCAAAGAAAGTCTATAAATTTCTTATACTTCCTCTGAGTATGACTAAGCAACTATATATTTATAGCTTGGAGGGAGAGAGACTTGGGCTATGGTCTGGACAAATATTATCTATGTGGCTTTAAGCAAGTTCTCCAACTGCTGAAAGCCTCAGTATCTCCATCTGTGCAATGGAAATAATAAAACCTACTTCATGGTATCACCAAGGGAATAATTGTGGGGTTGTTGACCACCATTTTTATTTTTCAGCAACAGCTTCATTCCTTGATGTAGACAATTGGTATTTTGTTAATTTTATATAAAAATGATTATGCTGATAAGCTTCATGGTATCACCCCTTTCCAATGAGACACCACCCCTAAGCCATTCTTATGTAGCAAATATTGAAGCAGCCACTGTTGGGATGCTTAAATGAGCTAATGACTAAAGCACTTAGCAAAGAGCCTCACACATGCTAGCTAAATGGTAGCTATTATAACAATTATTATAGGAATAAGTACACTCTCTGATTTTTTCAAACTGATAACCATAGTCAAATAGCATCTAGTGTCAGAGTAAAGTTGGATCATTCTGGTTTGATTGATGCTAAGTAGGGATGCAGCCTCTGAATGAATTCCATTCAGTTCAATTCAGCAGATATTTGTTGATGGCCTGTCATAAACAAGACCCACAACTATCTTCTCTTTCAATGGGCTCTGGCTGCTCTCATGGGAGACAGCAGTGTGTGGGGAGGACCAGGCAGGCTGAAAGGGCTCAAAGACCAACACACGTTTATGGGGACACCTCCTTACTTCTGGAGCTTCTGCTGGCCAGCACCTTCTTTCCATCATCTCTTTAGCTGGTCTGGATTTGTCCTGCCCCCGCCCTCTTCCTCCTTCTCTGACTGACTGTTGTGTGAAAGGCTGAGGAGCCTTGGCAACAGATTGTGCAAGACACATGTCCCGCTGGGAGATCTTAAAATGAAGATGGACTTTGAGACGTACAAGGAATGGGCAAACAGTGAGCCCACTGGGTCGTCCAGGGAGAGAAGCATCTGAGTCCACTTTTAGTCCCGTGAGAAACCTGGATTGACCAATGCAAAAGACAGAGTCTACTCTCTTTCTGATGTCTGTGAGTGGGGTCAAGGACGCTGGCAAAAGCCAGTAGGAACTGGGAGCTCAGGGTCTATTAATTCATCATTAGGTTTTCCGCCAGCTTTTGTTTATCAATATTGTGGAGCTCATGAAACACATTTGATAGAAAGACTGCTCCACCTCCACAGTCAGCCCTCTGGCCTAGTGTCTTATCAACAGAAAGTGATTGAGAGCCTGTTTACCTGCCCAGGGTTAGTGAAATCCATTCTTTAGCCCAGAGGAACTCCAAAAGCTAACAAGGAAAGCCCTACTGTGAAGAGGGCTTTATTAATAAAATGGATTTAACTAGGCCCAGGAGACTTTGCATGGCCTAGTTAAATGGGAGCAGTGGAGGGCATTGGAAAATGTTCTGAGGTTTCTTCCAACTCCATAGCTCTAGGAGTCATGTGGCCTCTCCAGGAGACAGAGATCAGGACAGCTAGAAGAAGTCATGGGTAAAATCATCGAGATATTTTGAATCTACATGTCAACTCTCACCAGGTGATCAAAAATAAGTACTCAGACTAAGGGAACACAGAAGGGAATGGTCTCAGAGAAGCTTTGTGTGTGAGATTGGGAATAATGAGTGTGAGGAGTCTGAGAAGACGTATCTTCTTACGTGAACCTGAGGCCAATATTTAACAGCCTTAGAGTTAATCAAACCTGTCGGCCCCAGTGTGTGGAGAACTAACCCACACCCACTCCAGTTCCACCCCTTCATGTTGGCTCTTCCAGCACTTTTTGCCTCATGACAATATTCTCTTTCCTTCTCAAATCTCTAATTATTCAGGGACCTGCTGGTTTCCCCCTTTTGCTGGGGCTCTGCTGTGAATTCTTGATCCCAGGGGAAGGGGAAATACGTTGTGTCCGTGTGCATAAGAAGCACTGGGGGTTTTGTGATGGGTTCCACCTGCCTCCTTTCTTCAGAGGCTCTCCAGCACACTCTGGGATCTCTGTGGGAATGGTCAGGTTGTACTTTGGGTACCCATTTAATGACTGTTTATAAAAGTTTTTGCTGAATTTGGTAACTTGTCAAATTTGATAACCCTGGCAGTAAACTTAAAAAGGAAAAATAATTTCTAATTGACAGTTGCAACTTTCAGACATTCACATGCAAAAAAATTTAAATTTACTGAATTAAAACATACTAGGTTAAATATACATTAAGTTAACAAAGGAAAAAAGGAATGGGAATTCTGGGTCCTCCTTATTTTTGATAATTAGGAAAGGGAATCAGGACCCTGAGCTGGGAAGACATTGTGATTTGTCTGGGGCACGAAGTCTGGGACTCTGACACCAGGCTCTACTCTCCTGGCTGAAAAATCTCGCTGCCTCCTTGCCTTCCAAGTGAGAGGAAGTCCTATGAGATGCACTGGATAGAGGCCTATCCAGTTAAAAAGGGTTGAGTGACTCAAAATGAAATAAGACATGATCAGAAACTATATTTAAAAGCGTGTATTTTTAAAATTCCTGTTGTTATCTTGTCTACATGCACTAGGCTGGTAGAAAAGATTTATATCCTTTTACTGTTACTTCATCTTTCTTTAAGCTGTTTTTGATACGTTTACCTATCTACTAGATGGGATGCTACCCGATTCATGAATTGTTGAATAAAACCAATTAGATCTTTAACTTAAAAAAAAGAGATATAAATTACTTTTCTATTTTTTGATCTTTATAAGATATAGATTGCTTTGTATAAATTGGTTTTCACTTGTTGTTGATGATGGTAACATTTTTAAAGGACATTCAAAGTTTAAAATAACAACTGTTTTCTTGGGGATGAAAGATGTTTTATTTGTGATAACCTCTCATTTCCTGCCAGACCAGGCTTTGTCTGCGGGTGGGCCTTCTATCACTTTGTTTCGATATGCAGAAATGCAAGACGATGTATAGCAAGGGTAAAAGAATAAGGGCATTTTAAAGTTGAACAGACGCCCCTGATACATCTAGTAGTGTTTGTCCCCAAACTACTAAACATATATTAGAATTCTTTATGTTATGAGTGAAAAAACCCCAAGCTTAATCTAGATTAAGCAATAAAGGTAATTTATTAACTCCTAACTGAAGAGTGTGAGGGCATATTTGGCTAGCTTCAGGCATGGCTGAATCCAGCTCTTTACTTTTCTCTATTTCTTGGCTGTCTGTCTCTGTGTTGGCATTATGGATAGGTATACTCTCCACAGGGTGAGAAAGACAGCTCCTAGCAGCCTCAATTTTATATTCTTATGGACATTCTTGTGAATTTTAATTCATAAGAAAGAAAATTTCTCATCAAATGCTCATTTAAATCTCAAGAACAACTATTTTTGGCCCTGCTTCAATCATATACCCAATTCAGAACCAATCACTGTGACTAGCATGGGCTATGGGATTCCTTCACGGGGCAGGTAAGGCCTGGCAATTGGCAGCACTTTGACGCATTGGGAATGTAGGCTTCATTGGCAACATATCTGGCTTAAGAATGAAGAATTAGTTGAACTTGTTTATGCCAGCTTGTTTCTCCAGCCTCTGTCTATGCATGAATACAGGGCTCCATAGGGCTGATTCCTGTAGAGATTCTTTTTCTTTTTTTTTTTGCCATTTATTATTTCAGCATTTTTTCTTCTCATTATTGGGAAACCGTGTGCTGTTTCTTAATTTAACAGTGACCGTGATCTTTTCATTACCTCCCTTAGCAGGAGATCAGATGACAAATCTCAAATTCAGGGGCCTTCTTTTTTTTTTTGGTAATTTTCACCTGAGGATATGTTTTTGCTGATTTTAGAGGGAGATGAGGGGAGAGAGAGAGAGAGAGAGAGAGAGAGCATTGATCAGTTGCCTCCCGTACACACCCAGACAGGGTATCAAACCTGCACCCAAGGTATGTACCCTGACCGGGAATAGAACTGGCAACCTTTTGGTGCACTTGGGGTGATGCTCCAGCCAACTGAGCCACCTGGCCAGGTAGGGACCTTCTTATAAAGAAGCTTGTTTCTTGTTCATCACATTTCAGACATCTTGCTGAGCTTTTGGTTAATAACACACCAGGCCACTTTGAGTTTTCTTTAGTTGAAGAAAATACTTCTGCCTCCATTTTGCTGCCCCAACTTCCTTTTTCTCTTTTTAAACACCTTGAGTTAGAAAATTAAAATTTCCATGGGTTTTCTATTTCTCTTGATGACATTTTGGCCATTGCAAGTGCAATCTCCATTTGTGAAAAATTGGGGAAATTGCCATGATCAGAAAATCCTACACTTGAATTTTTCGTCCTGACAAATGATACCTGAACATCCCTCCTAAGCTGTGTCATCTGGGTAATGCCTGCTTTCTTTTCTTAAAAAGAAAACTATCTTTATTGTTGAAAGTCCTAATTTCTTTTTTAACATTTTTAAAAATCCTTACCCTAGGGTATGTGTGTGTGTATATATATATAAATTTTATTTTAGAGAGAGAGGAAGGTGGGGAGAGAGAAGGAGAGAGAGAAACATCTATTTATTGCCTCCTGTACCCACCCCGACCAGGGATCAAACCTGCAACCTGGGTATGTGCCCTGACTGGGAGCTGAACTCAAAACCTTTTGGTGTACAGGATGACGCTCCAACCAACTGAGTCACACTGGCCAGGGCTGGATAATGTCTAACTTCTTGATTCCATTTCATATAGACTGTTCTCAAGAGTTTTCCTGCTGATTCTTAGTAAATGTTGGAGATAAACATATGAGCAAACAAGCAAGGCCTAAAAAGGAGCAGTGGATGAAACATCATGTTTGAATGAGCCATGTAAATATTGAGCCCTGGAAAATTTCTGCTTCAGATATTCTTGCCAGTAAGGCAAGGCTTCATGTGTGATGTGCAGGTGCCTGAGACAGGGTCTGGTATGTAATAGCTTCCTGGTAAATGCTTGAATGAAGGAACTATTCAGTGAACACAGAAAGTTGGTAAAATTGCTACATTTGAAAGGGAATCTTGTCTGGCTGTGAGGTACCACCTCCCCAGGTGCTGGTGAGGACCTTTTCTGAGCAGTACTTCTCTGCCCCCATAAAAACGATTCTTTGCTGATGTGAAACTCCCAGTGTTTTGGGCAATAGCTCAGAACTGGATCTGGTTTGGGGTTAGCAAGATTGTCACCACTCTCCCCAGGAAGGACCCAGAATGCTATGACCAGAAGCAGCATCGTGGCTTCCTCGTCACTCTCAAGATGCTGCCTGCCGTGTCAGCTGTGCTGCTTGTTCAGTAAGTGTCTAACACGTACTGGAGGTATATGATTGCTTTTCAGAAAGGAAGAAAACCATTTCTTTTGGCGGCCGAGAGGGGCCATGTTGAAATGATAGAAGAACTTACCTTCCTTAAGCTGCATACTTCAGAAAAGGACAAGGTGAGTTGGACTTTTCTTTCTTTTTGTTATGGACTTTTATTTCCTTAAAGAACAAGAGGAAGGGGACTGACAATGGTCGTGTATTTTGCTGATGGCATTTTGGTCAGCAGTAGAGTTTTTTGGTTGTTACCACAGTCAGAGAAAATCATGGAATATCCAGATGGAATCAACCCGCTTTTGCAGTGGATTGCCCAGATTGCCAATTTTTTGCTCCATAAATGGTTGTGAAGTCAAT